GTCCCCTGTCCGTCTCCAGCCGTCACCCCTACGGGTCAGCTGCCTGGGCCCTCACGGCCAAGTCTTCCAGCGGCAGGACAACCAGCACAGGGTGTCGTGCCTGTGGAACAGCACCGTAATCCTGCATTACCAGCCCGCCCCAGGAGCAGGGCTGGAGGTAGAGGAGGAGGAAGAGGGCCAGCCGCCATCCCCACCTTGCTGCCTCTGGTACCTGAACGCGGCCTTTCTGAGGAACATCTCACGCTGGTCAGGCCGGGTGGTACTGCAGACAGAAGCTCCCTCGCCCGGGGCCTCCAGCCTTGTTACAGTGCAGTGCTGGTCTGCCTCCTGCGCTGCGCCCGAGTGCTTTCACCGCAACGTGAGCGTCGAGATCGCGGAGCAGGATATGCGGCTGTTCGTGCTTTGGCCGCAGACACGCGTTATCCAAGCGTGGCAGCCCGTGGAGCTGGGCTGGTGTGCACGCCTCAAGAACGCTGCCTGGCAGTACCGCTTCAGCAGCCGGGGTGGTGTCCCCTCGAGCCTTCTCCTTCCCAGCAGTGAGCACCAGGACACAACATCACCTGCTGTCTATCCAACAGCTGAGTTGGAACAGACCTGTGCCACCTACTACAGCTACCGCTTGACTGTGCGCTACAGGCACCCCGGGATCCACGTTGCTGTGGTCAGTATTGAGCAGATGCCCCACATAAGCTTCAACCTCTCTCTCAAGGTGGAGCCTGACTTGGTGCATGTCCTCAGTGTCAGCTCCAAGCTCCTCAGTGTTCCTCAGCAGCCCCTTAGCTTGTCCTGGTGGCTTCAGCCCCTTAGCCTGAGTACACTTGCCTACAGACTGGTGGACACACAGGCTGTAGGAGGGTGGCTGTGCTCCTACAGTTCATTTACACTGCCAAGCAACTTCTGTGCCATTTCTACACCTCAGAGCCTGGATGAGATGGTGGTGGCCAGTGTTTACTTCCATGTTGATGGAAAGAGGTTTGAGGAATTGATGGGGGAACTGCACCTGCTCAATGGTACCCTGAGCTTAACTGCTGGCAAAGAAACTCCCATACATGTCAACCTTTGTCCAGGGAAGATCAACAGCA